CCCCAAAACCCCAAAACCCCAAAACCCCATAAAGTTGATATCTAATTAAGATTTGCTAATTCTAAATTATATAATAAAATGGGTTGTAAAAATACGAAGCCACCGAAGCAGGAAGGTCCTAATCCTAAACGTAATGAACTCTATATAGATAAATCAGATCCATTGGCTCCTTAATCCAGACAAAATATTCCTGATAAACCAATTGCTAAGTAAATTACAAACATCAAAAAAATAGATAAGATGGATAAAAAAGTAATAGACTAAATCTTGTATTTACATCCAGTTAAAGTAGTTGAAATGGCCTATAAGGATGAGAAAGCCTTTATAAATTTGATTAAATTAAATGGAGTCAAGAATCTTGCAATTTATACAGGCTATGAAGCAGATCCTCCAATAGTTCTCTAATCTGGTAAAAGAGTATCAACTCTTACCTGGAATCCCTTAACGTTTGCTCTTATCTTATAGAAGACAGATCTGTTCAACTTCATAGTTAAGGATGTTAACTTCAATCTTAAGATACTGCTAGAAGCTTAGCCTCAGTAATTGCGAGCAAGCCAAATAAACAGTTAAATGTTTAGTAAGGATGAATTAATGACACCATTATTCCAGCTAATGTATGAGAATTAGTCTAGCTTAGTCAAGGTATTTGCTAATGAACTACTGCATCTAATGAGAAACGGAAATATTAAAGCGCTATTTAAGCAAGCTGCAAGAAGTGAGAATTCAGGCTAGAATTTAGAAGTTCTATTGTAGAGTAGAGCCTTTAAACAATTATACTACTAAAAAGTTAAGGCTGTAATGAAGACTAAAGGTAGTTTTGAAGATTTCTATAATACTTACTTATCTTAATTCTAATCTGAAAAAGAGTGTGTTGATATACTTACTAATAATCTAGTTAAAGCACCTTTTAATGCTGGCTTTGGAACATTTATTATATAATAACAGCAAAAGTTACAAAAGGTTTTTGGGGTTTAGCTTGACAATATTATATCAAAATGTTCAAATGATTTAAAAGATTTTGATGTTTATAGACTTGGTAAGCTCCAGGACTCAGATTTCTAAGAATTAATAAGTATAGTAAATAAAGAAATCAAGACTGAAGCCAAACCATATCTTGAGTTTATTAATGCTCTCTAAAAAGCTCATAAAAACCGTGATAATGTACAATCAAAGGTATCTCAATTGATATAAAAAACAATAAATGGTGATTTATCAGGGGTTAAAGGCAAAATTGGAAACTCTGATATTCCAAAAGAAGCTGTGCCTTATCTCTTGGACCCTTCTTTATAAGAGTAAACTATCCATGTGAATGCTATAATTGGTGACTTCCCTATTGAGCTAAGTAAAATGAATGCAATAGAGATTGCATGTGCATTGAGTAAACCTTAAATAGTCTAGTACTTTATTGTTGACCTGCAACTTAAGTCATTTAGGGATTTTCAAATGAACAATAAGGGTGGGTTGCTTAATGAAATGCACTTTATGGTGGGGGCCATCCTAAGAAAAGATCATGATATTACCAAAATATTGTTAGAATAATCTTAACTTTGGACATATGATGACTTCAAAGAGATTACTGGAATAATGAAGCAATGCTCTTTCGTAAGAGGGATTCATGAAGCTTTGGAATCCAAAACTGCTCAAGAAATATTTATCAATCTAAATCTTCAAGATAGATTTAGATTTGTGAGGGATTTCTTAGCTTTGCCATATAAGATTGATATTAGTGATTCATAAGTTGACTTGTATCAAGAGGAAAATTATGTAGAATAATCAGCCAGATCATAGTAAGCTGTAAGTTAAAAGAAGAAAAACCTGCTATCTGCTAAGGATTAAACTTTGCTTTCTAATTTGATAAAAACTAAACTAGTCAATCCACCCTATATATCAGCCTATCTATTTTAAGAATTTGCAAAGAGAAAGGATACTTACAAGAACGAGTTAGAAGTAGAGAAGATACCAGCAGATCCAGCTGATACTTTAAATTTTCTTAAAATAGCAATAGAAACTGTAGATGATCTTGATCTTCATGAATATATTCATGAAACACATGGAGCGATAGTCAACTATCTTGAAAATACAGTAAATATGATATCAATGAATCTAGAGGGAAATTCTGATAGTCACCTATCCTAAATGAAAGAGTAGATAAGCAAACTTATTGGAAAAATTTAGGGTCACCAAACTTATATAATGATAAAAGGAGAGAGTAGCGATTAGGATTAAGAAAATATTTTAGATAATTAGGCCTGATATTTTTTTATTTAAGATTTCAGCATCGGGTTGAAGAGGCTAATTATATAGAATCTTAAACTTAATTTTATTAGTAAACTATGAACTTTATAAATTCATGATTATGGGGTTTTGGGGTTTTGGGGAAAGACTCACAGATGAGT